GGGGGGGGGGGGGGGGGGGGGCGGCGTGCTCTGCTGCCTTATCCTCTGCAGGCTATCACAGTGTGTCTGCCACGCAGGGCAGGGCTGCCTCCATTGTGTCTTGTCAGTCCTCTGAGCTCACTCCCAGAGCCCTGGACTGTCACTGAGATAAGAGTGCTCAGTGCTCGTGACACCATGAGGTGGAAATGCAGAAACTGAGGCAGAGGCATGACCTTTCCCACATCTTTACATGGACCCTGACCACTGCTATGTGATAGTTTAATATTTGCTGCTTGCTTATTTATTTTATGAGCGTAGGGGTTTTGCCTGCATATATGTCCTTGTGAGGGTGTTGGGTCTGCTGAAACTGAGGTTACAGACAGCTATGAGCTGCCAGGTGGCTGCTGGGAATTGAACTCAGGTCCCCTGGAAGAGCAGCCAGTGCTCTTAACCGCCGATCCATCTCTCCAGCCCCTTTGCTTATTTTTTTGAGAGGATCCTGTTCTATAGCCCAGGCTGGCCTCTACCCCAGCAGTCCTCCTGTCAGCTCCTGGGTGCCTGACGGGAACCTGACTTTCTTGTTGTTTGGTTTTGTTTCAAGGCAGGCTTTCTCTGTATAGTTTTGGTGCTTGTCCTGGAACTCGCCTTGGAGACCAGGCTGGCCTCGAACTCACACCTGGCTCTGCCTCCCGAGTGCTGGGATCAAAGGCTTGTGCCACCACCGCCCGGCAGAACCTGACTTTTTAAGTGCATTTTGACAACAGACTTTCTAATCCAGAGCATTCCCAGGTCTCAGACTGATGACCAGGACACTGAGGCCCTCCGGAGTGGAGCTCGCATGCCCGAGTGGTTCAGCTGCGCGGCTCACTGGTGGTCCCAAGCACTGCGGCAGGGGCTCTTCCTCCTGCATTACCGTTTCCTCTTCCTGGGTGGGACTGCCAGGCCTTGTCCTGAGAAGTCCGTGCTGCAGCACCGTTGTAGACGAAAGCCCGGGCGGGGCCTTCCTTCCACAGCCTAGGGAGATCTGCCTCGCAGCCTCACTCCAGCCGCAAATGCCGAATCTGTATGTTGCTTGCCAGAGGCTTGGGGGCATGGTGCGCAGCCTCTGTCCTTGAAGACTTCAGAAGATGGCCCAGAGAGCGAGAAATGACCTGTCAGAAGTGTGTTACTGTATTAGAGCCACCCACCCTTGGTGACCTGAGAGACAGACCTGGGTGCCGCTCCCACCTTTATCAGCCCCACCCTGGTGTAGAGAGGACAAAGGACAGGGCTGGGTGCCCAGGTGCTGGTCTGTCAGGATGGCCGAGTGTGGCCAGGTTAAATCTCCCCATGTGCCACAAGCTCTTTGGTTCTTCCATGCTGGGTGGGACCCAGAGAAGGAGGCAGACTGGCTGCAGGGCAGGGGGCACTTGGCATGGCCTCTGTGTTGATGGAGCCGTGCGGGCTCAGCAGAGCCACCTTGGGGAGGCCTTGCTCGGAGTCGGGGTGATCTCTCTGGTGTTTGCCTCTCTGCAGGTGGATCCAAGGGCCACGGCAGTGCTGGCCAAGTGGCAGAATTCCCACAGCATCAAAGTCATCCTGCAGGAGCTGCGGCGCTTGATGATGTCAAAAGAGAACATGAAGCTACCACAGCCGCCAGAAGGACAGTGTTACAGCAATTAGTCACCAAGGCCCCGGCCTCCCCTCCCCAGTCCAACCTAAGTCTTCATTTCCCACAGTAGTGAATTTTCTAGATTCATCTTGTAGACCTCAAAGGACTGGAGAGAGAGCTCCACTGAGACTCCATCCTGGAACACTGCTCTGATACTAATTTCTTGTCCATTTGAAATACATAGGCTGTGCTGTGTAACATCTTCTGTTGAGTGTAACCGCTGGCTGCCTAGTTGAACTTCTGGGATCAAGAAGGTGTGTTGAAATCGGTTTCCTTTGGGAGCGGTGGGCACAGCTAACGCAACTGTGAACCGACACGTCACACAATCACCTGCTGCTGACACATGACCTGGGTCTGCCTCTGCCCGCCCCGCCCTCCTGCCACAGCCGTGTGGTGGCCCTTAGACTAGATGGGAAGGCTTCAGGTAGCAGCTGTGGGACTACTGCTGGGCTTGGGGGTGCTTTGGCCGCACCCCTGCTTTCTTAAGTCTTAAGTGATGCCCCCTCCAAGCCATCGTCCCCCCCACTCCTCCACTCCCACCCTTGGCCAAAGCTTAGATTGTAACCCTCCCCTCCCTCAGAAATTGGCCGTGGGTGAGGAATTCAGGGCTTCCCGTCTCCCCACCTTTATCAAGGGGTGCTGCTCTCCCCTCCTCCTCAACTCCCTTGTTGCCCATCACCACCCAACACTTGCTGTGGCCAGAAGCCATCAGATGAGGTTGGAAGAGCCTGGCCTCCCTCACTTAGCTCTGGACCACACGTTCACTTGCCACCAGCCCGGGAAGGGGGAGCCGGGACCTCAGCCCTGCTGCCACCATCAGCCGATGCACTTTGAGCTCAGGTCTCGAGGTGAACAGAGCAGTCTCGGGGCCACAAACCTGCCAGCGCTCAGGGGCCTTGGTGGTGACGCCTAGAGAAAGGCCATGCGGAGTCCGAGCGCACAGGGTTCTGAGTCGGTTCCTTCTCTCATAATCGCTTTGCTTTTACACACTGAAGAGGTTTGGACGGGGCTCCCTGGCCACCATCAGGTCTGTGTGGAGCCTGACAGCTGAACAGAGCCCCTGACCCTGCGGACTCAGGTTTCAGTGTTGCTGCTCCTCAGACCCTCGCCAAGACCCGAAGGAGCTCTGTGTCACGAGGTTTTAGATCGGTGGGCCTGGCCTCCTGGCTCGTCACCATGTTCCCCACTCTGTTCAGGACCACTAAATGTTGAAATGTGGATGCATACCGAAATAAAGGCAATTCGTTGTGTTGCAAGGGTTATTTTGGGTTTGGGTTTTTTTTTTGGGGGGGGGGGTTTAAGCATATATGTGAATTCACCTGTTGAAGCAGCAACTATCAGGTCTGAAAAGTGGCTGGTGTGGCCATTGATCTTTCTGGGGCAAACTAGCTGTCCGGGCGAGGCATCCTGTAAGTCGAGTTTAACAGTGTTCATAGCAGCGTGTTGTCAGTCATTGCCTGATTTTACTGTAATAAACAAGTGTGCATTGATACAGAGCAGGCTGTGCCCTTTTTCCGCCAGGCTTATTCAGCAAGAGGGTCAAATGCTTTTAGATGCTCTGGAAACTGCATGATGTCTGAAGCGGGCGAGAACACTTGGGGTGTTACAGCCAAGTCCAGGCTCTTCATCACTGTGAAGTAAAGGGACAGATCCCTCGACACTTGGTGAGATCAAAGCCAGGCACAGTGGTGTTAGCCTGCTGATACCCATGGGGGCATCTGTGGGTGAGGTTTGCCCTTCATTTGAGAGAGTGGTTAGAACAAGCAGTAGCCTGGACTGGTCTGTGCACCAGTTTGTCCTGTGTCAAAGGATGTGGGGGTTCTTGTTTGTTTTTAAGACAGGGTCTCTATTATGTAGCCCTGGCTGTCCTGGAACTTGCTTTGTAGATCAGGCTAGCCTCAAACTCTCAGAGATCTGCCTGTCTTTGCCTCAAGTGCCAGGATTAAAGGTGTGTGCTCCACTACCAGCCAAAAAAGCAGTTTTTAAAGGTTTTTATTTGGGAGGTGGAGGCAGCAAGGTCAGGACTTCGACCTATAAAGACCCTGAGAGAAAAAATAGCTGGGCATGGTTGTGCACACCTGTAATCCTCGTCTTTAGGGGTGGAGGCAGGAGGATCAGGAGTTCAAGGCCCCAGCTATTGGTGAACCCATCGTGCCTCAGTGGGCTTAAGTAGCTTTGGGATCCTCTAGCTCCTTGTTGATTGGGGAGAACCTGTGCTGGCTGGGCTTTCATGCCAAAAGTAAAAATACTGCTGTGATCATAGCTGTGAGGTTGCAAACAAGAATTCTGATCTGAAAATTGGCAGCTTATCCGCAGCTGTCACCATGCGAGGAGAAGGGACAGAGTAGCTGCCTTGTCCCAGGACTTGAGCTCCCGTAGACCCGCTGCGGGTGCGAACACAGGCCTGTGCAGCAGGAGCAGAAATGCCCTCTGGCTCTGGGCCAGTTCAGGAGAAAGGCTGGGCAAACACAGGCGGCCCTCCAGACGGCTCGGCCAGAACCCAGGTGCATGAACACCTTGCCCTGGGGGTCCCCAAGGAGCCAGAGGATGCTGACAAGTTCTCTCTGGCTTGAATCTGTTTTGCTTCCTCATCACTGCCAGGTAAGGGACTTGGGGTTCAGTCCTGGGGTCCCCTCCACTAAGCAGAGCTCGCAGAAGCACACGGTCTCTTGAGAAGTGACACCACCAGGAGTCCACAGGACCTGGCCCTGGGCTGTGAGGTCCACATGGGTCCCTTGATGCCCACCAGTTGCAAGGCTCGGGAGACAGATCCTCAAGCTGGAGCCAGCCTTGTGGCTGCTGCTGGCAGCTGTCATTGAGAGGAACACTGCGCACATGTGTGAAGGTCTTCAGGTTTGGGGCGTGGGCTCAGTGAACACCAGAACTTTGTGTGGAAGCAAAATTTTATGTGAAGTCTCCCAGCAGCCAGAGTCAGTTAACCTACGTGTAACAGCAGCCATGCCTGTAGCCGCTGCACAGGGCACCTGCCAACCCCGGGTCCTCCTGTGATGCTTAATGTGTATCCTTTGGCTTCTTGGGACCGTGGTCTTAGGAGCTCTTTGAGGAACGTGTCCCCAGGAGCCTGGGTGTTGACGCTGGAACGTGTCCCCAGGAGCCTGGGTGTTGACACCTGTGTTCACAGGCTGGGCAGGAAATCGCCCCCATGGTCTCCAGGAGCTGACCAAAGCATCATCAACGTGTCCATCAACACGGCTGCGAAACACCCGTCACTGTGAGAAACCAGACATGCTGGTAGAAAGACATGGGGGACTCCAGTGTCATTTTTAAATAATATAAACAATACTGGGTTTCATTATGACATTTTCACACGTATTAACGTCTTGATCATATGGACTCCCAGTTACACTCATGATTGTGAGATGAGGTTTCGTAGCCCAGGCTTTTTGAGTGTCCCCAGCAGATCCTGGGCAGACGCAGCTAGACCGTCCCCACTGGGGGCTAGCTTTATCTTGGGGGCCCCAGGGTTACCCTTTCTGGGCACCAAGGACACTAGGTTCTGAAGATGTGTCAGGTTGGGCGTGTGACTGGAACTGGGACACGTTCAGGCTCTATCACACCCGATAGGGACATATTTACACCTATTGTCTGCCCCTCCCATCCCACTGAGCGTCATCTGTGAGCAGCAGGGCAGGGCTATTGTGTTGCTGTCCGCTGAGCTCACTCTCACTGTCTGGCATGCCCTAGGAACTCCATAAATACTAGTGAATGTGAGGGAGTGGGTGGGGGAGGGACCTCAACAGCTCTTGCAGACCTCAAGGCTAGGCTCTGCTGCTCTGTGACTCCAGGCAGGTTCACTAGCCCCTCTGTGCCTCCCCACATACATATCACAAGTTATTCTGATGCTTAGACAAGATTTTAGGTAGAGAGGGCTCACACACAGCTGGTGTCCCACTTGGCTGCCCTCCTTCCTTCCTGGCCCAAGTGCGCACGCAGTTCTGACCTCCAGGTTCAGCTCAGGCCTTGGTCCCCACTGTGGCCAGCAGAGGGTGCGCTTGTGCTGCAGACTGCCACCTTGCCCGCATCTGCTCCCAGCCAGCTGTACTGAGTACTAAAGCGGACAAGTGGGGACAGATGTGGCCACTGGGCAGGGGAGGAGCCAGTGGCCCACGGTGTCCTGCAGAAAAAGGCGATGCCCTCATACTTCCCCTGCTCCCAGGACCCTGACATTCCAGTGAGGGTGGAGGCAGGGGTGAGGGTCCTCGAATGGCCACTGACAGCCACCGTCAAACTCAAAGCCTAGAGGGCCAGACATGCCCCAGAGAAGGGTGTCTGAAACACAGGGCCAGGGCCAGGCTTTCCCCTCCGGGAGAGAAGCCCGGCAGCAAGGGAGGTGAGGTGTCTTGCTTCTGTGGGCTGAAAGTGTTTGTTTTGGCCTCCATCACCACCTTGCCTACTCCGGAGCTGCCTCGCCCTCCCCTGAGGCCTGTGTTTGGGAAGAAACTCCTCCCGCTCTTCCATCTCCCATGGGCCGGCCCTTCCCCAGGCGACTAGCCCTGACAGTCCCTTCCACATCCGGTAGAGCCCCAGCCCTGAACTGCCCCGGGAGCCTGCCTTTCCTCCACACTCACCCAGCAAGCATTTGTGTGTGCTCGCTATCTGTCAAGGCCTGTGCGGCGAGCCGGAGCTGTGAACTAGAACAGGAGGCGAGGAAACAGGTGCACTCCGTGTGGCTCCAGAGGTTTCCAGCAAGTGTCCTGTGGGGAACCGAGGGTGGAGGACAGCCCAGGGCAGGGGCCCCTCCAGGTCGGGGGGAGGCTGAGAACAGAACGCAGGCCTGAGCTGAAGTTCCCAGTGCTTAGCACTGAGCAGGCACCCGAGGAGCTGGGGCGGCCACACCCACCCACTCACAGTTTGGGAAATCTCGCCTCTGGCCCGGTGAACTCCCAGCATTCCTGACCCTGTGACTTGACCCGGTGCCCCTCCGGCAGGGTCATCTTCCTCACCAGCTCCCCACCGCACCCCGCGGCTCTGGCACTTGCTTATACCACAGCTTCGTGGGAACAGAATTATTTTTTTCTCCCTGATAATTCGGGCCAGGAGACTACCCTTCCGGCCACACTGCCTATCCAAAGGTAGAGCTGACCAGCAGGTGCCGGCACCGGTGACCTGGGATGTCAGCACTGCAGGGACAGGAAAATGATAGTGACAGATCTGGGGACATAAGGCAGGGAAGGGGCAGGGGTGACAGAGACGGGACTGAGGTGTCACTGGAGCTGGAGAAAGCCGTGAGAAGAACCAGGGAGTCCGCCAGCACCCGGGGAAGAAGGTTTCCAGTGAAAATGAACACAAAGGCCCTGAGGCTGGGGCAGGCTGGGCTTGGTTGTAGCTGGGAGGGAGCCAGGAGGAAGGAGGCAGGGGACCAGGAAGTGACCATGTCCCTCCCTGCAGCAAGGCTGGAGTCTATGCTGGGGCCCCAGACATTTTACCCAGGTTGCCCCTACAGCCTGGTAGAGCAGAGGCCCCTGGGGACTCAGTTCAACAAGTTAGCCAGGGCTCCAAAGATGGAGGGCTGGGACTGCGACCTCTGAATCCCACCCCATCACTAATGAAGTCTGCCCCTCCTGGAGTTCAGCAAACTCTTAGCGGGCTGCTTGCCTCTGGGGGTGAGCAGGGACCCAGATACCCAGAGAGGGGCGCCATTTGCTCAAAGACATTAGAGCTCTCGCTGGCTGATGGGCCCTGTCCTCCAGAGGACCCTGGAGCAGCATGCCCTGTGACATGGCTGAGCACAGGCTTTGGGGCAAGCTGCCTGGGTTCAAGTCCCAGACCCACAACCTCTGCAGTGTCCTCTAAGTGACAGTGGCCTGAGTGTGACAGGGCCTCCAGAATCCCACACGGCACAAGGGCCTTTAATCCCAGCGCTCGGGAGGCAGAGGCAGGTGGATCTCTGTGAGTTCGAGGCCAGCCTGGGCTACAGAGTGAGATCCAGGAAAGGCGCAAAGCTACACAGAGAAAACCTGTTTCAAAAAACCAAAAAGAAAAAAAAAAAAAAAGAACCATGTCCTGTGGTTGTTATGAGGGACCGGCCTTCTTACGGGGGACCGGCCTTCTTACGGGGGACCGGCCTTCTTTCCTGCCACCTTCCCTTCCTACCTGACACCCCTTGACCCAGAAATGAGGCCTTTCTACAGGCGCTGGGGTCAGAGGTCATCAGATGAGTACTGGAGGGAGACACCTGGTACATAGCCCGAGGTGTGACACTCACTCCTCATAATAGGTCACCTGTGTCCCACAGGTCTCAAGGCTGTCTCCCCAGTAGCCAGGGACTTCCTGCTGCAAGAAGGGGGTCCTTGAGGGGCTGTGAGCCCTGTCACACCAGAGTGGCCTCTCCAGGGTCAGCCAGCTGTCATACCGGTGAGGCTCAGTGGGCAGGAGCCAAGGATGCTGTGAGCCCCAGGTGCCCAGGCAGTGGTCCCCCCCCTGCCCCCCCCACACACACAGGATCTGGTCCCAGCATGGTCTGAGCCAA